CGGGTGGCGATGCCGCCCTTGCCCTCGCGGGGGACGCCGTTGGAGAATCCTGGAAGGGAAACGCGGCGTAGATGCAGCAGCAGACAGAGAGAAAGTTAGGCGCGAGATACACAAATCGTGTCGAAACATGGCATGTGTGGAGCATGGGGCGTTTTTTCTTGTTTCTCGCTCTTCCTTAATTGGATGATGAACACACGCGCTACCACCGCCACCACCGTCATTACCATGATCACCATCACAATTATTTCCCAATGAATTCAACAACAAGGGATAGCCGCGTACACTACACCGCCACCGCCGCTACCGTCATTTTCCACGACCACGACCACCACCACCACCACCACTACCACTACCAACGAAAACAACGACGACAACAACGACAATAACAACAACAACAACAACAACAATAGAAGAGGACGACCAGCGTCTTCGCCGACGACACTCATAGTACGCAACAACAATGGGCGGCATTGCTTGCCTTTTTGTCTTCCCCTTCTCCTGGTTGTTCTGCCGTGATGCCCCCTGTGTTGGCGCCATCCCCGGTGTCGACATCCATGGCCTTTATGGCCTGTTGGCCACTGCCGGTACCTGTGCTTGGCGGCTGGGCTTTTGGCGGGACCATTCCATGCGGTACACCAGGTGGAGCCTGCGACATTCGGTTGTCATGAACAATCGATTACGACGTAAGAAACCACTAACTTTAAATTACTCTTCAGCCCATACCACCCCCAACTCATATTTACGGCAATGCAGTGTCCATTGGTCCCTATCTTCGGCAATGGAGTGTCCGTTGGTTCTTCATACTTGTGCGGATTTTTTTTCTGTTTCCGTCACCCGTTCAAATTAACCTTCACCCGCAGTCTCTACCTACGGTGCGCCATCGTTTCTCCTTTTAGTGGACATTTTCGACCCGACGTTCAACAGTAAAAACTCATCTGAGGCGCACGCCTTCGTCGTTGTTTCTGCCACGAGAAGAGTTCACCAGGTTTTCACCTTTCAAGCGCTTTGAAATACGAAACGTATTTGATAAAATGGCGAACTTCATTCTCGAACTGGCAAAACCAAGTCACTAGGATGGTTAATAGAAATCCCACTATTAGACCACTGGTGCGACGGGCGTGCCAAACCGTTGCGATTTTCCCGAAGTATGCGAAGTAATCACTGGCGGGGGGGGCTCATTCGACTCGAAGTCCGACACTCCACCATATCTGATCAGTTGAAACAATTCAGAATCGAGAAAAAATAACGCTAGAACACGAACATGATTCGTTGAGACTGAGGACGGTACCAAAGAATGGGGGCGACTTTTGATCGAGTGGCTTCTGTGGGAGATGAAAGCAACAAGCAACCAAAAATGGTGTACGGCCGTTTCACAAGGGATGTGTGGCCAGTGGTTAGGTGACTAAGGAAGCGCGAACAGCGGAGTATCCCTTTGGATAATTATCCTCGCTCCATGTCTGTAACATTTTGGAGAGGTACCGCACCTCGTCTTGGCGGCCATAAACGCACTATTGGCGCCCAGTGCGTTCCGTGAACTGTTCTTCGGTCGGACAATTCCCGTCGTGGAGAAAACGTGCAGGAAATGGAGCCGGTCTTCTCGGAAAAGGGTGGTACTGTTTCTTATATTTTTTCAGGTGTGTTACTTGCGCTGGGCGCTGATAACACCTTCCGTGCAGTCGATGCGTGTGTAGGTGGGTACCGATAAGTTCGGTGCCCACACTACGCTGACGACGACGTGCACCTCTTTGTGTTTCAAGACCTACCAAACTCAGGGTGCGCTTGTGTATGCGTGGACATACCTTGGCAGAGGGAGGAGGCGTCTTTGGCCTTTTCACGGGCGGCGGGCTCGCTGCTTCTGCCCCACGATCTCGACCACCGCCAGCATCTCGTCCTCCGGGCGGCTGCCCTCGCCCCTGCTCCGGTTCTCCACCATTCCCCATGCCCGCCGACCCTCGTTCTCCTTCTCCTCCTCCAGCGCCCGCCTGCTCTCTCCCGACGACAACACCCTGTTGTTGTTGTTGTTGTTGTTGTTGAAGCTGGTCAGACGACTGCACTGGTGCAGGTGAGACTCCTGCACTTGGAGGGGCGCCAGGAGGCTTTCCCGGTGGACTTCGGGGGGGCGGACCACGAGGGGGCGGGCCGCGGGGGGGGGGACCGCGGGGCGGTGGGCCACGAGGGGGCGGGCTACTGGGAGGAGAGGTCCTACCAGAAGGCGGAGAACCTGTGCGGGGACAAGTTGGGTGGGGGGGGTAGGGGGCGACGGGGAGGGCCCGGGGGGGCGGGGGGTACTAATGTAAACGCATGCTGTAGTCTTTAAGACCGTTGACCTCCCGTCCCTACACTGAACGAACGGGGCGATACGCCGGGCTGGGTTAGGAGGGACTATTATTGTCATGCTGGTGCTGTCATCTGACCGTTCTGACGCAGTGGGAGGTGGGGCTAGGCTCTTGATAAGGCGCTAGATGGCAAAGGTTCTGTTGTCTATCGACCACGACGAAGCTAATGCCATGGTTCGTGGTATTGCCATCCCTTTGTCTACGTCACCCGCACGAAGATCTGATCCCCCCTCCCACCAGAAGTTCATCACTACATAACTAGGGATGTTTTAGCTGGACACAACATCGGGGTCACCCTGTTATCTGGTTCTCCTTGGCCGAGGCCGTTGCCTGCCTTAAATACCTGGTGGTGGACGGCCAGGAGGTGGGCCTCGGGGGGGTGGGGAGCCAGCAGGTGATGCCGGACTGCCTGTGGGGCGTGTATCACCATCGTATGTCGGGGGCAAACATGAGCGGCAGAAAACAATCTTTGCGCAAGTGAAAGGAGGCAAGCTCTCGTAGCGGGTATCTACGATATCACTATCATCCGTTCGTGTGCGCAAGTTCAGTACTTGCCCCTCAAGTTCTGAGAGGACTTGTGATTGGCCGCTCGTCTGACGGAGAAAGGAAACGAGCAAAGACAGCAACGGAGTGGGTTCCACCGCCAAACAATTGAAGAAAAGTCAGGGGAGAGCTCCTTGTCCCCTAATATTGGTGGTGTCCAACAGTTTAAGATAGCCAAGCGGCGTTGTTCACCTGGTGGCGGCGTTGCTCGGGTAGGACCTCCCGGAGGTTTTCCAGGCGGTGGTCTCGGCGAAGATCGACCCTCGGCTTCGCTGGCATCTTTCTTGCCATCTTGCGGCGGGGGTGGAGACGCCGGGGCTCCAACCCGGGGAGGTGGTGGTGCCTTCTTCGCCGCGGGTACAGGAACCGGTGCAGGAGCCTTGGCCTCCGCCCTGGGGGGCGGTGCGCCTGCATTGTGCAGGACAAAACAGCACAGGGTATGTACACAGCACTCGTCGAATACCATATGAACTCCGTGAGCAACGCTGAGGTAGCTGTATTGTACTTGTGATCCTACGCATGCGCCATACATACACCCAGGTTGCCTGCTGTTCGAAGTGCCCAAACTTATCCAAGCCGCAAGAGAACGCTGTTCATGGAAACTGTCGGCGAGGGTATGCATAAGGGTATCAATTCCCAACCGACACGAACCCGTCATTGCTGGAGAGATCACACCGTCATGTTCATCTTCCTTTATCGAGGTACAAGTAAGCATGCTGCTGACCGGTGTCTCGCGTTACGTTTCATCAACGGTGCCCAGACACGCCCCCTCCCCCCCACCCCCTGGAGGGGCACCGCAAAGTGCAACTCTTTTTCTTTTGCCGCAAACTTCCGGGTATGTATGTACTCCCGTTGATTTCACCACCGAATATCGGTCTTACTTACCGTTTCCGCCAAAGGCTTTTAACACCAAAACAACGAAAACCGTTTACTGGTGAACATTACAGCTTAGTGACAGTACCACTCTGTCCATATCGTGTAGAAAAACACGTTTCACGGAGCCATTCCGGGGTATATATGACATCCATGCATGCAGTCTGATGCACTGCAGTTCAGACACAATACGAAGCCCGTACGATTCCGAGCCAACTAAATTTGACTCAAGCAGAGTACACCGCAATGAAGTTGAGCAGAAAACTGATTTAAAACCTGCAATCACTCACCTGGCGGTGGTTTTGAAGGCCCCACACTCGATGACGCTGTAGCAGGTGGTGGTCCTGTCGGTGGTGCCTTAGCGGCAACAGCTGGAACGTCGACGGAACAATGTCAAGAGGGGGTCACAAACACCAGTGGAGCATGTGGTATCCCCAGTTTGCCGCTCCTCTTTCCACAGCGAATAAGATACTGGATGCTGGATCACGCTATGATCCCATGATGGCCCTTGTTGGGATAAGCTCAGATATGGATGAATGCCGAGAATGATTCACTTTGCTACTGTAGATAGACCGTCATGGACAATTGCGCACACCGAGCACCACAACCTCCTCAACACCGAAGTGGTTCATGTATAAGGCCGGTTGCCCTGTACGATGCCGGCGATGTTGCCTGACACCCAGATGGAATATTGAAATATTCAAGTTGTCTCACCCTGAAAAAATAGTTTCGAGTGCTCGGTATAGGAAGGCCCGCTAAATCCCTTGGCACACTATTGGCCTATACGAGGACCACTATACTGTAATTACAACTGCCGATTCTTATCCCTCTGCATGAACCTATTGCCTACTTCATCAGCTTACCTTGTCCGGGACTCCCTGGCGGTGGACCTGGCGGTGGACCGGGCGGCTTCCCTAGAGGAGCTGCCGGCGGTGAGCCGGGAGGTTTGCCTCCCGGCCGAGGCGGAGGAGCACCAGCGGGACGTTGCGGCAGCATCCTGATAAGTTATGGCATGAGCATGGAATACGTAGCTAGGGTTAGAGGACACCGTTGCTGGCGTTGTGCTCGCACGCGCCCTTGACCCAACCCACCACTGCCACACCAACGCAGGATCGAAAAGATATTGCACCGCAATTTGGCAGGTTCCAGCCTATCCGGCGGAGCCCCTTTGGGCGACGGAGATGCGGCGTAATCAACTAGTCTACCTCGCTGGTTGTGTTTGTTTGGTGCCTTCAACAACTTGCTACGCTCTCAAGTGTGTACATCGTCAGCGCTTGTTGTCCAGGAAATGCTTGCCTCGCCCAGGTAGGGACTGCTGTGCGTCGGTCTTTGTTCCAAACGCCAAGCTCACGCTGGCTCGGGTTGGTGTTTTGAACCTCTTTCGTCCGCATGCGGAAACATGTGATCGTTGCGGCAGCTGTCGGGTTGGTGCCCTGCCTGACAGCAGCAGCCACAACGGTGCACCACGCCCACCCACCCACCAGTGGTGGGCCTGCTTTGGTAGGCGAGCGGCTCAGCCAGCAGCAGCTCCGTCACAAAATCGAAGACGGCGTGTTGAGCAGGCTGGCCTCGGGCATGAGGGAGCACGGAGAGAGGGTAGAGAGAGGAGAGCTGCGACCCCGGCCTTTCGTAACGCTGACCTACGCTCAGAGCATTGACGGCAGTATCGCGGCTGCGGACAAGTCCCAGGTGAGTCAGTTGGCTTGAGGTTTGAATGTAAGTATTGTGCGGTTGACTTGAGAACAGCACTCGCCTACGCCGGTTGTATTGCCATCAATGGATCATTCCCCGCTTATGGGGCTGCAGTCTACAGATGCATCACGAATCATTCGAAGTCTTTGAACTAAATAAACCGGTAACTTGTTGCGTCGGTTTTGCCGCAGTGGGAACACGCGCAGATCCGGCAATGGCCCATAGTACTAGAGTAAGTAGTAGGGCGGGGTAAAGAGCCGCGATGCACAACTCAATACCTCTTTGCAAGTAGTAGTCTATCTATGATGCTGTTCGAGACACGCTCATTCCAGGCAACAGCACGCAAGCGGACTCCCGCGATTTCATTGACGGGTGACCGGCCGCCCCCTCGGGAGTGTTAAACATTTAAGGAAAAATAATTACACACACAGCAGTACCCATTCGAGATATACCCACAGTCGAACGGGATGTGGTGGAGTCTTTTCAGTGAGTGGAGGAAAACCGGCTGGGTGCTGGACTTATTTCGAGTCTATGTAAGTCTATACACTGATGATTTATACCAGTGATGCCAGCTGGTGCTAAGTACAACAACATCTGTATAGATAACCTACATTTTACAATACATCCCCTGTAGTTCTCTACTGGGTCAACGACAAAATATCGGGGAGAATATTTGCGCACCAACGCGGAGGAACACACGCGCGCTAGCCGGTGACACGGTCGCCCTGCTACAGCAGTACCGCCAAACGATCGGCACCTAACAGCACTCCCGCCGGCATGAACAAGGGGATAGACATGAATACATAAGATAGGCTAGAGCCCATCGGGTAGCGCGGTGTGGAAATGGCAGGAGTGGGTACAGCAGCAATCAGAGCCAGCCGTAACGGTCCTCCTCGTGCAACGTTCTCATCATCTCCGTCTCACTTCTCATGTTTCGCTTGCTGGAGACGGCGTCGTTTGGCTGCCCCCCTCCCCCCCCTCCCAATTGCGGCGAACGGCGTCATACCTACAATGTACGCTCAAGTCTCATGCGGCGACTGCGTCCAGCCCCAACGCCTCGACTTCGCTCTGTGCTGCTGCTGCTTGAAGCAAAGACTCCCATCTACATCTGTGTATCTTATTTCACCCATTATCGTGAGATTTCCGGAAGAAAGAGCACATGGTCAAGACTCCTTGTTGTGTACCCAGAGAGCATGTACCAGACCTGCTGTTACTGCTGTGCTTTCACTACGGAAGGGATTGGGCCACGGCGGGTGGGTGGGTCCATGTGGATGTGCGAGGCTTACGGCTGAGTGGTACCTCTGTGTCTCCTGCAGTAACTTGAATCGCGTGCCTGAGGTCTCTCCGCCTTGTCATCCCCAACCCCTTTAGGGCTGGATCGCCTTTTGGGAACACTTTTTGTCCCCATCTTCTTCACCTGCTTTACCTCGCGAGGAATGGCATGATTGTCTCCTCCTTTGCACTACTCGACCAGGGGGGTGCCAGGGTACACAGGGACGACCCTAGTCTAGTATGGATGCTTTGTAGAGTCGAGGAGTTGAGGGTAATGAACAGGTCGAATCGCGGGGCGATCACACCGCGGGTTCAACAGCGAAGTTGCGCCGCGTCTGTCTACCCTTGGGTGGAAAGCGCTACTAGGGACAAGCGCGGAAGAAGTACCTAGCCCACCGTTGATAGGAGGCACCGAGCAACCTAGGGCTTGAGTTAGAAGGTCTCGCTTTCCCTCTAGAGAAATATCTTGAAAAGCTCCTTTTCGTGCCCCGTTTACCGCGCTCCCGCCAGTTGCTGTCTTTAATCCCTATCAAATGTCCCCTTGTGTCGAGGGGACAATTGATGGGGATTATAGGCAAGAGACGGCTCAAGTGGGAAGGCAGCTTTGCACTTGCGCCCAGGGATGGAACTGTCTACACCATCCAATCAGCAGGCGTCGGTCCCTCTTTTTCTTACATTTCAGAAATTTCGCAAGAACGCCGAAATTTCTGTGCGTGGTAAGGGGGTTAACTCGACAAATCCCGGGGTTAGGGAAGTATCTCCTACGAATTTTCGGGGCAAATGCCTGTGTAGCACGGCCACCTCTTGTCGGAGCACCATCAAACCGGTGCGACGAAGAGTGCCCTATTTTTCTTCCTCCTAAGAATCCATCAGATCGTCAATCGGTGCTCTGTAGGTCTTCTTTGGGTACAGGAGCGTTGTTCAGGGTTCCCGGAAGTGCCGGAAATCAAACGAGGGCACCCTTGCATCGCGTTGGAAGAGGCCGATACATCGAGTCTTTTGTTTCCCTCCTGGAATGAAGGGGAAATCAGGTCGCGGCTATCGCCGGTCCGCGGCTCTTTTATCTAAACCACATGGAGAAGCGGTCAGAGAGAACAGCCCTGGCATTTATTTTTTCTTGGAAGTGTCACGCATGAATTATATGGTATGCAAGTCAGCGGTTTATTCCACCCAGACCTCAGGGAGAGTACAACCAAGCAGCCCAGCTACTGGTGGCCGCGGTGGCTCGGCAAATGACCGCTCTTGTGTTAACCTTACAACGCCACAACCATGCCTTGAAAACCAGATGTTACTGCACCGTACATTGCAGAAAACCTGCACACGGTCATTTCTTACAGTGCATATTTAACACAATTAGAGTTTCAGTCGCTCAGATTTCCTGGTTAACGGCAACCGAAAGACTTCTAACCTTCTCTTAAAGTTGATATGTTGATGGAGCTGATTTTGTTTTTTGGCTACCGGCGTTCTTAGTGCATGGAGGTGGAAGGTGCGAACGTGACCATCTTGTACGATGGTGTGTGTGTGGGGGAGGAATTGCATGGGTCATAGCGGCGTCTTCGCGCGTTGTTGACGGTCTTTTTCAGGTGTTTCTCAGCGGGTCGGAAAGCCGAACAATGACGCACGGCTTGCGGTCCATCCATGACGGTATTCTCGTAGGCGCCGGAACGGTGCGACAAGATAACCCAAGGTTTGGCCGTGATTTGAAGTAGAGACTTGTTGCAAGCATCTGGGCCGTAGCGTAGACACCGGTCAGGGCTCGCACCCACGTTTTCTCGAAACGTTGCACTGCTGCTGTGCCTTCATTGTTTCGATGTGTGGACCGTGACCGATATTTCCCACACGGAATGGCACGATGGACGTGTGCTACGCTGCACATGAGCGTGCAGCGTGCCTCACCTTTCCCCACACTCTGCCCGATATGTTGGCCTGAACGGCTCTCGCGACTCGCAACAATACAGGCTCAATATCCGGCATTGGCCTCCGGCTTCGTGTGGCGACGGCGGCCGAGGCACAACCTCTTCCGAGGAAGAGGAGGAGGACGCCTTCGACCAAGCGAGAGGCAGCGATGCCATCGGAAGAGGGGAAAAGGAGACAGCAGCCCCGCGGGCGGTGGTCTTGGCGGGCAATCTCAGCCAGCTACCGCGTTCCATGCGTCTGGGCGGCGCGGTCGTTTTCACTGACCTATCGTCTCCCGATGCGTGGAGGTAACAGGCGGTGGTGGTGAACGTCTTGTAAGAACAAACAGGTTGTAGTGCTAACACCATGCGGCAGTATTGGTGGGCTTGGTCGACCTCTGCAAGGCGGCGTCTTTTTTTGGCGATAGGGTTGCTCCGTGCAAAACGCAACAAGCGCTGAAGACATGGACACGAAACATATGGTGCTTTTTCGGGCGTGTGGGTGCCGTCTTCCTTGTCAAGCCTCTGCTCTGCTTTGCATGAATACCTCGGGCCGTCGAAGCACGCATATGGACGATATGGGCGCAAGGGCCTTCCCACGGCCTTCTCCTTTCGTAGCGCCTTACGGTCTTGCAGAAGGCGTCTGTCATCGCTAGGTCGACCGCCAAAGCTCTTCCACCAGTAACTTTGTAGCTCCATATGCATAGATGTGTTCGTTGTTCGTTAATAGTCATCGTTGCAGGGCCCAAAATTGGAGTGCTTTGAACAAGGACCGTTCTTGCGCGCAACGGGAAAGGGGAATATTGTGCAGTGGTCGTCGGTCGATTCCGATTTCCTCCACATTCACAGCAGCACCTGTTGTTTGCCTAATTTGTTGTGTTTATCTCCTTTCCCCGGCGAGCCAAGGTGGCTGGCCGAGTGGGCGCAGAGGAGCAGGGAGGGATCGGAAGACCGCGCGGCGAATGATTTTGTGATAGTCCATAGCCCGTTGCAGGCCGATGGCCGCTGCGACGTGGGCGACTGCTTGGAAAAGCTCTACTCAATGGGCTTCAGGAGTCTCATGGTCGAGGTCGGTTCCGATTTTCTTTCGGGTCGCTGTCCTAGGCTCTGTCGACTCGAGTTTAGTTCTACCCATGTATGCCTGCAGACCCCGCTGCCCGAACGATTGTTTTTGTTGTCTAGACTCCTCGTTGGGGAATCTAACCTGATACCTGTGACGTCTACGTGCTTTCGGCTTGACCTCAATGCTCAGACGTTTCGAGCGTTCGCTTGCTGCGGTCCGTCTAACGTGCCCCACTTCCATCGCATGCCGTTCGAAACCGCCCCACGTATGTAGGGGGGGGCTACCGTAATCTCGTCGTTTTTGCGAGGGTGCGGAGAAGAGATGGCCAGAGACGAGGAGTTCGGCCGCAACCCCGACGGTCAGCTCGTGGACCGCGTCGTGGTAACGATCGCGCCGATGTTTCTTCAAGGCTACAACGTCTTGGCCACGGAGGGGAACGCTTGTGGCGCACGAACGACCAGCCCTGGCGCAGGTAGACCGACCGGGAGAGAAACTTGTTGCTACGGGCCTACCCCAATATGTTGCTCACGCCATATGTAGGCGCACCGAACACGCCTAGTCCACATTCGCGCGGGAGGTGTGATGGAACTCTTTGTCTGTACCACCTGGGCTTTTAAACCGAACTTCGGTAGGCGTCAGGCTTATTCCCTTAGGTACTTGACAACTGGGGAGGCTCCCAGCATAGCCGGTATCGTTTTGAATGATAGCGGATGCACTTGTTAGGAATCGTAACCACGAGAGCAACGCGTTGCCACAAGCAGCGCGACCTCCAAGGTATGAGTCAGGAGGTCAGGTCGGTGGTTCAGCAGCCGAAACAGCAACCTTCTGTATTTTCCCCGTTAATTTCTGCTCCGCGCCTGGTGGACGCTTGTGGGTGTCATCACCTTCAGGTTTCCCCTTGCCTCTGCTGGACGTCGGCTTCGTGCGGCTGGGGCAAGATCTAGTTGTAGTTGGGGCGCCCGCGTGCTGCCAGGGTGCCAGGTAGCGTCGTTGATTAGTTCTTGTGCTTGTTGTATACGAATAGGTTAGGCCTAGGCCAGTAAGTAGATTTGCCGAGCTCTTATGGGTTCGGTCTGTGCAAAGACGGGGGGGGGGGGGGTGTACTCATAGTCGTGCATGCCGTAGTCGTTTGACCATTGACCTCGCATCCCTACAAAGCCGGGACGGAGCACGCCGGGTTCTCACCGGACCAGGCTCTCACATCACCCAAGCGCGAAGCGCCGTGAGGTATTTGGCGAGTCGCATGAAGGGTGAGCTGCATCCTGCTAAGGGTGTTCGGCATCTTGTGCTTACTTCCTTGCGTACGGATGACAGCTACGTATGACTTAATTTATTTTCTGGTGCTTTTACTTCCAGAGACAGTTGTAAGCACTGTGTAACTGCCTCGAGGAAGCTTGACCATTTTAACACAACGTGGTGCGATCATCCCCCGTTGCGCGGAGTGAGGTTTCTCCACCCCGCACAGCATGATCTACTCGACCACCATTATGGTTACCGCCAAAAAAAAAAACCGAGGTAAAAAAAAAAACGGTAACCTCGGTTGCCGAGTTCACGAAGTGAATTGGCTTGTTTTACAACGTCGTTGCCAAGCGACGAAAACCCAATCCCGATGGCAAACACCGAGGGGGGGGCTTGTTTTACAACGTCGTTGCCAAGCGACGAAAACCCAAATCCCGATGGCAAACACCGGGGGGCGGGGGGGGGGGGGGGGAGAAATACAGCAGTACCCGCAAGGGACTCCATTGCAATCGCTCAAGATCTGGTGCAAAAGGACGGAAGATCAGAGCTGGTCTCGGCTGTGAAGCGTTCTTGATTGACCGGATGCGATATTTTAAGCAGAATGGCTGAGTTCGGGTAGAGGGGGTACAGAGCAAGTTGATGCCAAGTCTCTGGGCGTATCCCCACCGCGTTCACCCTTTCGAAACATGTCCTTGCGCGGTAAGCCGAGATGGTTGCTGGCATATAGAACTACTACTGGTTTGGGTGTTGACACACGTAGGTTTGTTTTTTTGCAGTTCATTTGTTGGCAAAACTGAAGAAGACACACATGCAGTTGTGGCAAGAGGTGCGCGAGGTTCGTCAGCTTACCGCGAGCCCTGACGCATCGAGAGAAAACGCCCGCTACCAATGGCTGGCTGTAACTCGTGCAAACCTTGCGTTCGTGAACCACTTCCCGAGCGGCGTACATAGCACCAGGGTACACAGTAAAAAAGAAAGTGGTATTATTGTAGTAGTTTGTTAGGAATTATTGATTCAAGTGTTTGGTCCTTGCCCCTTGCGCCATGTGTTTTGACATTGAGCACTTTATTTATTGTATGGCTGAAGTTTCCTTGGCAAATGGATTGAGAAGGGGGAAGGTGTACTGAGAGGGGGAAGCTGGGAAAACCATGTTGTGGTCGTGAGCAAGTACTGCCGTACAGCCTGTATTTGTTGCATGGTCCCCGCTGCTTGTACTTTTGTGTAGGTGGGGGGAAAAAACAACTTCAATATGCATAAGTGGGCGAAAATCGCCGAAGAGGGAAGCCTCATACAGAGTATCGATCGCTACCTGTAACCAAGCAAGGCAACAATTGATTGTGCAAGATGGGAATCAGGCAACGTGTGTAACAATGTGTGTGTGCTGGAACAACCACAACCTATGGCATTTAGACTACATTGCTGGCGGCGTCGGGGCTGTACATTGCACGCCCTATCATAGGGCAGACTGCTGTTCACGTACATGCATCACGGCAGTTTTCCGTGCTGAGAATATGTTGATGTGGTGGTCATCACGCGTCTCCCGACCACGACTACTGCTGTATGCAGTATGCAGGCTACCGTGTAGTCTGGACGCCATTCCCCTAAAAAAAAAAAAGTGGATGACAGCACGATGGTCTTTCTTTCTGCTGTGAACGGTGAACACACACCGACTGCTGCTGCTGCTGGACGCATCTTCACGTAACTTGCATCATTCGGTGTCATTGCATGCACAGCTTTTGTTGAGCTGATACCTCTGGTGTACAGCAGCAGCACACCGCAATGGTGAGTAGGTCGCACGTCGGCACGACCAGAGCGTTAGTTCTCTCAGCACTTTTTTTATTTATTTTCTTTGACACAATAAATCCATCTCTATCTACAGAAAAAACTCTTTTTCGTTTACTTGTGAGGGCAACATCAGTTCTCGACACACAGACAACTTTGACACAAAAAACCTCCCACCTCCCAATACGGGTACTTATTCTTGTGAATCATCTTTTCCGAGAGGCTTAGTTTGGCCAAGCACACCATCATCAGCATATCCGAGAGGGTTTGTACAGCCGCGACATGTGCATCTGCTGCTAGCTCTCAACAACAGGAACAACCATCACCGTTTGGAGAGAGATAGATGGAGATACTGCTGTAGATATGCCCACAGAAAAAGAGCACGAAAGAATCAGGATCTTCCAGGCTAAACTTCCGTGTGTAACGGAAGATTGACACGGAGGGCGGCTCGTCGCGCCGAAGGATCTTGGTGGGTCGTGCCTGCTTTCGGATGACTTGCTGGCCATACAACACACGTCTCTTTTACTTTACCGTATACAGCCAGCACAGAGGAAACACACACACGACGGGTACGACGGCGGCTTCTGACAGGAGTTCTCGAAAAGAAAGGTTTTGCAACAAGTGCTGCTGCTGCTGTGCTCACACACGGACGGAGAGGGGTTTTTGGCAACCAACCAACCACCACCGACAAACGAACGGCGGGTTGTTCTTCAGCTGGAAAGAGAGGTTGTTGCTGTGGAGGAACAAACTGCCTAAAAGCGAGAAAGGGCAACCAACCGGAGAGAGAAAGCACGCTGCTTGTTGTTGTTGTTGTTGTTGTTGCAAAGCTCTGTCTCGACGGGAAGTGCTGCTGCGAGAAGAGCCTGTCGCTGCACGGTGTGTGGAGCCTGATAACCGAGGTGAGAGCATTAGAGCAGAGGGTTGAGAGAGCAACATCCTGTGTGTCCGTGTGTAAGAGCTTCATCGATTTTGCACCCGCAAATTTGCGCGAGAGAACAGGTCCGCTTTCTAGAACAGGCGTTGGGTAGCTGCTGGGGCACAGAGCTGTGTGCGTGCGTTGCCCGGCGTTGTCGTGTAGAAGCCGACTTCTCGTATGAGCTGGTCGCTGCTGTCGTTGTGGTGCCGCTCTTCCGGGGCGTTGTCGGCACACGGAGGGAACGGTTGTCAGGCGTCATGATGGCGGAGCGTTTTTGTTTTGTGGCAGCAGCATGTGCCTCCTGTTTGCCAAAGCTGCAGTGCGTGCCTCGAGACCGTTCTTTCCCTGTTGGCGGTGCGTGGTTAGTTCAAGTCCGTTACTCGTTGCAGTTTGCCCGGCAGCTTCTTTGTAAGCACGCGGGTAGGAAAGCGACAGAGCCTCGGCTGCATTTGTGCGATGGCCACGAAGAGAGGTGAACGGATATATCCTCCGGAACACACAGCAGCATTGTTGCCCGATTTGAAAGTAACAGAACGTTCGTTGCCCAAAAAAATATGTACAAGCGGAGAGAGCTGCCAGCAGCAGCAGCGGGATTTACGGCACGTCTGGCCAACTGCAATCAATTACACAGGCGGGATGAACCCTCGCGACGCACGACCGTGTGACGTATCTGCCACGTAAGCGTGTGTGCTTATCTATCCGTGCGTGGTGGTGGGTGTCCCGTTGGGTCTGTGGCTCATTGAGACAACCTCAACGGCGTTCGGCAGCTGCGAAGTGTGCTTGTTGGTGTTGTTGTGCCGCTGCGTCCTGCTGCCCTCATCGAGAACATCGGATTTCACCTTTTTTCTTTCACCCGTCCGTCCATTTTGTTTTTTCCAGCAAACAACGCAGAAAGCAGGCAGGAGGTGTGCAGCTTGTGCCGAGAGACATGTCGTCTCAACTCCAGGTAGACGACGGCGCAGCCAGCAGCAGCGATAACTTGGACAACGAGGGTGTGTGCCAGCCGGGCAACGAAAACACAGGTGAGTTGCGCGCAACCCGCGCCTCTCAGGGAAGGACGTCTTTTCTACATGTAGAACATCACGCGTCCTTTTTTCCTCTGACAACTGCTCCTCTGTGCCGGGAAAAAAACCAGTAACAGATTTGATCATGTGCAGAAGCGCGGCCTGCCTGCCTACCCACACTTTCCGTGTGCCGAGCAAATAACCCACATCACCCTCTACGACAAGAGCTCGGTGGCTTCCTCCTTCCGTCTGTACACGCGCGCCGATAACATTTGCATTTTGTGTATCAACACGTCGTAGACACAGCAGCTAGCCACAGCAAGTGCGACTGCTGCGGTAGGTGCAGGCTTGGCGCCATTTTTTTTTCGCTCGAGACCAAAATCGTACCCTCTCTGCCCTACCGTTTTTTTTCTCTTTGTCTCTTCTTTCTTTTCTACCGCCGCCGGTATGTTCATCCATGGTTGCTGCTGTGTTCCTGTTGCTGCACGGAATTCCGGTTGCAATTAATTTACCGTTGTGGTAATGTATGTATGCTTGTGACGTAACATGCTTTTTATTAGGGCGGTGGACTTCGGACGAGCACCGGCTGTTTTTGAGGGGCCTCGAGCTTCACGGCAAGGGGTGGAAGCAGATCGCCACCCTCATCCAGACGAGGACCGTCGTTCAAATTCGGTGGGTTCAGTGTGTTTGTTTGCGGCAGTCCGCACACGTTTGGAGAGAGATAGCGGAGACGTCGGTTGTTTTGTGGTGCAGGTGTGCAGATGAGGCATGCGCACCACTGCTGCCTTTCTTTCGGCGCGAGAAAAAAAGTGTTCTTTCCTTGTTCTTTTTGGTCCCTTCGGATATTTGAACAGTTTGGGCAGGCTGTTCATCTACCAACCATAGTCCAGATGTCGACGGATGCTTCACGTGGTATTTTTCACCAAAAAAAAGTTGACGTCTATGTACCTGTTTCTACAGCGAGAGAGAGAGATAGGAGAACCCCATGCGGCAGCATCAGAGGAGAGGGGAATGGTTGACTCGCGCCGTGGTTATTTTTTTTTTGCGTTCGCTCGCCGACTCTTTCGCGTATTCGTTGTGCGTTGCGCTCACCTCAAGGATGGCTTTCCTCAAGGATGTGGTGGAAGGGAAAATAAACAACCGCTGTTGCTGTTTGCGGTGACGGCAATGAGCTTTTTCCATCTTCCCTCCCCCTCCCCCTCTCCCGCGATTTTCCCCGGAAACCACCTTTCTCTACATAGCTACTAGCTACAGCTGCAAATAACGTAGATGCGTATGGGCAGCAGCAGATGCTGCGGTGCAGGGGGAGGACGAACTGGTCGTTCTGCCTGCCTGCCTGCCTGCCTGCCTGCCTGCCCGCCTGCCTGCCTACCTGCCTGCCCGCCTCCGCCTGCGCGCTTGGCTCTGTTTGTCTACTTGCTGCTTGGACCTGGGCTCCCTCCCGTCCCTCTGCCAGACAGTTCTCCGTGGTATGCATACGTTTAGTCTCATGGTCGTATGTAGGCGTGTCCAACGCCGCCGCCGTTGTAGGAGAGGGAAGGCAGCGGCAGCCGAAAACGCTCACAGCAGGGCTATCGTTACGCATGCGAGTGGAAGACGGCGCCTTTCAATGTTGATATTGCGTGGCTGAAAGAATGTGCACACGTGCACACATGCCCTTTGGAAGTGCAAACAACGCAAAATTACTCGCCTTCCCGGCAGATTTGTACGTTTTCGGTTTTTGAAGTTTGAACCTAACCTTGAGAAGTTTGAACCTAACCTTGAGAAGAGTGCAGCCAGAAAGGCAACGCTCGTCCGCGATCATGGTGTGTACGGTAAAGAGTAGGAGGCTTCGAGCGTATCCGCAGGCAGCAGCATCATTCTATCCCGGACATCCACCTTGTGAGGAATGTAACTTTGTCCTTGGCCTTTCAAAGATCTGTCCAGCATGACCATATTGTATGCAATGTCTACTCGCAAACATCTCAAAATATTCAAGAATATTCCTTCCTCATGGACACGAAACGAGCTTCGGTGGTTCTCAAAGATGCTGGATGGACACAATTAGACGACATAGATAGTTGAGTTTGTAACACAAGTTTCATTCACTGGCTGACGTAAGAATGCCTTCGATTGCAGCCGCGTCGTCTCGAACGAGTAGTCTTGATTCTGGTTTGTGTGCAATTGTCCTCCGAAAAAAAAAAATGTCCTCCTTATGTATGCTAGTACGTTAAGACTAAAACGAAACCGAGGCGGGGGGCAGCAAACAAAAGTAATGAAGGAGGTGGAGCTCATCGCTCCAACTCCTTGAAGCTCAGTCGAAAATAATACTTTGGCCACCAACGACTTATCACTGCTTGTTGCAACAGAGACTCAACATTCTTGTGGGTGATAGTGCGCATCGTTTTTTCGTTTTTCCCGATGATGAGGCCACCCCCACTACAATAATACACTACACGAACGCGTAAACAGTCAAAAGGATAGGCCCTTGTTCCAATGTCGCGCGTGAGCGCTTGCAAGCTTTCCGCTCTCACAACCTTCCATGCCCACCCGGCCGCGTGGCTCTTTCTGTTTGTTGTATCCACGGGGTGTTTGTTGCCCGCAGCACTCATGCCCAGAAGTATTTCCAGAAGCTGTCCAAGGCGCAGGCTAGTGGCACGTCACACCTGGACCCCGCAACCCTCATGAGCACCATGGACGCTGGAAAGCCTCGCCCCGCCTCTGTGTCACGGTAAGGAGGAGGAAGAGGAGGAGGAGTTATAGCAACAGCAGTAGGGCACAAGGTTCATGCCCATTCGCGCTCGAAGTGCAAGTAAATGTGTTACCGTGGGCAGCAACCAGCGGTGTATTGTTCTCATTGCATGCCGGTCGTTTTTGCAGAGTTTCACATTTGCGGGTGTGCGCATGCATGCATACTTGAAATCGTTTTTTTATTTGCAAAAAGTGTGTGTTGTACACAAAATAGTGCACGTGATGACATGATGATGTTCTTACTCCTACTCTGATTATTTTGTTGCCATTTTTTTTCTTGTCTGCAGGAACTTGCGAAGCAGCACAATGGCGAACAGCCCGGCGGAGTCGGAAGGGAGGCTCATGAGCCTGAGGAAGCGCCGCAATCGTGGCCGCCACCCGAGGTAGGCGCCCCCTCCACGACGGTGCTTGTGGTGCCGTGCCACGTCGTGGAACGCCCCCGCTGTGGTGGGTCGATCCTCCTCGCCCCGTAAAAAGCCCTTGTGTGATTGATCCCTCGCTTTTGCGTGCTCCTGTGGTTTTGTGGCATGATGGTATGGTATGGTATGGTATGGTATTGTATGGTATGGTATGGTAAAACCATGCTTGCCGCTTCCCCCTCGAAACCGCCGGAAATCCAGACACGACGATGACCAAGACTACGACACCAACAGCGAGGAGAGCTACGACTACGCCCGCAGCAGCGCCACCACGCGCACCCGCCGACGCAGGCGGAGCGTCAGCAGCGGCAGCAGCGGCGGCGGCGGCGGCGGATCGAGCGAAAGCGAAGAGGAGGACGGGGAAGGTGGTGGCAGGGGTCACCGCGGTGTGTACCGCGAGACGGCGCTGGGCGCGACGACGACGACGACGATGATGATGATGGTGAGGCAGGCAGAAGAAGCGCCTGCGTTTACGGTCGGTGGCGGCAACAGTGGTGCGCACGGCGCGGAGTTTGATGAGGTATGTTAAAAGCCAGGAAATCTGTCCCCCCCGGTGTTTTTCATCGGGGTTGGGTTTTCGTCGCTTGGCAACGACGTTGTAAAACAAGCCCCCCCCTCGGTGTTTGCCATCGGGATTGGGTTTTCGTCGCTTGGCAACGACGTTGTAAAACAAGCCCCCCCCTCGGTGTTTGCCATCGGGATTGGGTTTTCGTCGATTGGCAACGACGTTGTAAAACAAGCCAATTCACTTCGTGAACTCGGCAACCAGGTTACCGTTTTTCTTTTTTACCTCGTTTTTTTTTTTTGGCGGTAACCATAATGGTGGTCGAGTAGATCATGTTGTGCGGGGTCGAGAACCCTCACTCCGCGCAACGGGGGATGATCGTACCACGTTGTGTTAAAATGGTCAAGCTTCCTCGAGGCAGTTACACAGTGCTTACAACTGTCTCTGGAAGTGAAAGCACCAGAAAATAAATTAAATCATACGTAGCTGTCATCCGTACGCAAGGAAGTAAGCACAAGATGCCGAACACCCTTAGCAGGATGCAGCTCACCCTTCATACGAGTCGCCAAATACCTCACGGCGCTTCGCGCTTGGTGATGTGAGAGCCTGGTCCGGTGAGAACCCGGCGTGCTCCGTCCCGGCTTTGTAGGGATGCGAGGTCAATGGTCAAACGACTACGGCATGCACGACTATGAGTACACCCCCCCCCCCCCCCACTCGGTGTTTGCCATCGGGATTTGGGTTTTCGTCGCTTGGCAACGACGTTGTAAAACAAGCCCCCCACTCGGTGTTTGTCATCGGGATTGGGTTTTCGTCGCTTGGCAACGACGTTGTAAAACAAGCCAATTCACTTCGTGAACTCGGCAACCAGGTTACCGTTTTTTTTTTACCTCGGTTTTTTTTTTGGCGGTAACCATAATGGTGGTCGAGTAGATCATGTTGTGCGGGGTCGAGAACCCTCACTCCGCGCAACGGGGGATGATCGCACCACGTTGTGTTAAAATGGTCAAGCTTCCTCGAGGCAGTTACACAGTGCTTACAACTGTCTATGGAAGTGAAAGCACCAGAAAATAAATTTAAGTCATACGTAGCTGTCATCCGTACGCAAGG